TCTAAAACTAGATATAAAATTTAGGGAGTATTTTAATTAAAAAAGAAATTTTTTTTTCTTTCTAATATTAAAGAAATAATAAATCAGTTTCTATCGTGAAAAAGAAATTGATGTACATACTAAACAAAAATCATTTTTATCTTATATTTTTTCGTCTTATTTTTAGAGACCGTTAGTGTTGTGTAGGTACTTTTAAGCCAGCCATCCGTAACCCCTGCTACTCTGGTGCTTTTTACGTCGCGCTTTTCTCTTATTTTTCAGCTCTTCTCTGCGCTTCGGCCAAGAGTTTCTAGTTCGTATATACTACACAGAAAGCCTCGAACTCCTTCGAATGACTTTCTTTCGTTTTTATCTATTTTAGAATGGTTGAGAGAGGAAAAAAGAAAAAGCAAAGGCGTATTGCGTTGCAAATCCTTCTTGTGAAAATAAAATAAAAAAAAAAAAGGAAGAAAGAAAGAAAAAAAAATTTAGCGAGAAAAAGGTCAAACGCGTTCCACTATATCGTGATAATAAAAAAAAGAAATGTAGAATTCTTGATAAATTATTAATTATTTTTAATGTAAGGAAGTCAAAGTTTTATTTATACTTTGAAATATATCGTTTCTTCTGTTTTTTTTTAAATTTTCTTTTATAAAAATTGTTTTTAAATATGAAACAGTCGTACATTTTTACACTGAAAAAAATGTATTTGAGTCAAATAATCGATTGACCAGAAAATTAAATTTCTAAAATTAGTATTGTTTTCTTTTTTATTAAAAAATAAAAAATTTTTTTTCAACTTGATTCTATGCAGGACCATGTTTGTTGAATTTTTTAAATTTCAACAAAATTAAAGTATTGAAAGTTTAAGAAATTATTCATCTGTAAAAACTCTTGTTAACGGATGTTATTTAAATTTTTTTTAAAGGAAATGTCGACGAGTACTTAATTACGTGAATGTCTGGAAAATAACTTGGGGTTGTTTAACAACCATGTATATATATTATATATATATATACATAGATATGTTGTATATATAACGAAGGAAGCAAGACTTATGATGAGATTTCAATTTGCCGCAAGGCACCGTCAGGCTGCGTTTAACAACTTTTTAATGGAGGCTTGGCGACCATCGTCACTCACAAGTTGACGCAGCAACGAAAAGTTGATCCTAACGGGCGTTAGTTTCTCCGCTATTATCTTATTTCTCCTTTTCATGAAACGAAAATTAGCAATCTGGTAAGCACTAATTTTAATTTCGTATATTATCCCTCTTCTATTCTGGGGAAGCATTCCAATTTTCAAAAAATCAATATTCCCCTTTTATATTGTCTTAAAGTTTCATTTTTAGTCAAGAATTTAATATATGAGGCAAAATTTTTGAAGTGATCCAATTAAAAAAAAAAATTTCTTATAGATCGGACTGCAATTTGCATAGACAGTAAAAAACCTAGTCTCATTTTTGTTGCAACTCAAAATGAGTCAATGCTAAACGACATAAAAAGTGGCGCCACCAACTTGACTCATTTTTGTTGCACATTAAAATTAGCCAGTATTATTGAGACAGTAATGTCAAACCAGTACTCGGTCAATATTAATTCAATACCGAATGCCAGTATCCAGAAAAATTATAAAAAAATACTTTTTGTAACATCTTTGATAGTACCGAGTAGCCTAACGATAGTACCGGATAACATCTACTTTTTACCATCTTAAGATCATAAATTCTTACCATCTATTTCTCTCCGTGCTGTAATGGAGGCGCCATATGCGCCTGCTTCTCTCATATTTATTAATATATTAATTAATAATATATTGAAAACAAAAAACGAAATTTTGATTAGGAAATCTACATTTTCTCGTGGCCCTGATTGGGCGTGGCATTTTATTCACTACTTAGGGTCTTAGTAGAGAAATTTCTGCATGGGATATATAATACAGATTTTAGAGCGTTATTTTTTGATATACAACTAAAATCCTCCCTCAGTATTATATATACAAATAATGATTTTGTAATTCACAGTAAACTTGGTTGTAACTTTTTCTATTGCAACGTTTTTATGCACATAAGTTATATCAAAAAGAGATCGTTTTGATGCAAAAAATTTAATCAATTTATATCAATCATGGCCGAATTGAATCGACTCAAATTTAAACGAATTTTTTTCAGATATTTTGGTAATAGTACAATTGCGGAGACCATTTCACTATTTAATTTGAAAATGAAAATAACAGAAAATCAAAGACAATGTGCAATTCGATAATTAAAAAGTGACAGCTTATAAACATAACCTAAAATGCATGAGAAAAAATTTGTCGATAAAATCAATATAGCCGAGCTTTTTAGAAGGTAGATGGCAGTTTTGCTTTTTATAAAAACGATTCAGAAAAAATTTAAAGAAAGAAAATAGATGAGTGCTGCCATCTACCTTCTAAAAAGCTCGGCTATATTGATTTTATCGACAAATTTTTTCTCATGCATTTTAGGTTATGTTTATAAGCTGTCACTTTTTAATTATCGAATTGCACATTGTCTTTGATTTTCTGTTATTTTTGTTTTCAAATTAAATAGTGAAATGGTCTCCGCAATTGTACTATTACCAAAATATCTGAAAAAAATTCGTTTAATTATGAGTCGATTCAATTCGGCCATGATTGATATAAATTGATTAAATTTTTTGCATCAAAACGATCTCTTTTTGATATAACTTATGTGCATAAAAACGTTGCAAAGATTTGATGCAATTTTTGGTCTCAATTTGATACTTTTAGGAAAACTGTGTTTTTTATTGACAGTCGATATTTGATTTTGAAAATATTCTCTCACTTTAAAGTTAAATGTAAAATAGGACCTCCTTTTTTTCCTCAAAAGAAATAAACGCATTATTCCATTTTGAAGAGAGATAAAAAGTGATGTTGATATATATAAATATATATAGAGAGATAGGAATGCTGCGGTTCATTCGGATATGCGTTTTAGAATCGATCGGTCCCATCTAAATCCCTTGTGCGCAGAAGGATCATTTCTAAAATTTTGGTATTGGTGCGTCTTTTTTGTGTGGCAGGTGTTCCCAAACCCGGGAATGATAGGTACACCTCGGCAAGCGTCGAACAGAATGATCGATTTTTCGTGTACACGTAGGTTGGCAGATTTAGGTGTAGAATGTAGATGTACATATATATTCAGGTAAATACATACTCAAAGAGTGAGAGAGATAAAGAGCTCGTTCACTCACACGTGCTCACACGCATTCTCTCTATCTCTCTCTTTCGTTCTAGGGTTCTCTCATACTCTTCCGCACAGCCTCTGCTCTCGACTCTCGCAGAATCTCCCAACTCTCGTTTCTCCCCCTGTAAACCACCCTCTCATCCACCCTGGTATCCACCCAACGACCCCTCGGGCTCTGGAAACTCCTCTCTATACCCCTGGCCCATCTAACCTAGCGCAGCATCCGCGTTCTGGAGCTCTCGCAGCTCTCGTAATCGCATTTGACGTCGCTACGTTTTTGTTTCAGAGCAGTACGTGACGCTTCCGCCGTCGTGAGGGCTCTCGATGAAACACACGAGAGAAAGAGAGAGAGAGAGAGAGAGATATATAGAGAGATGACTCGATCGAGGGAAAATAGAAAGAGAGATGAAATCTAGAGTATGTGTGATAAAAAGGGATAGAAAGAGAGAGAGAGAGAGTGAACCTGTCCAAAAAAAAGAAAGAAAGAAAATGTGCTCGACGAGTACCAGGATATCCGGCGATGTAATGCCGAAGTTCAACTCTCCGAAAGATCCTTCTAAGATCCTTGAAGAGGATTCAAGGAAAGGTGGACGAGAGGTAGACGAGCATTTCTTTCTTATGCTCTCTGATTCTCTGTGTTGAAAGTATTGCGAGATGAAAGAAAGTATATTACAGGAAACGAACGTTGCAGATAAATTTGTTACATGGCAGTATTTTACAAGAGAGAAAAATGGACAAGATGAAATTATATTTTTTTCTTGTGCAAGAAAAAAAAAAGAATGTTACTTCTTTTACAAGAAGATATAACAAATTCTGTCAAATTCATATTTTATAAGTAATAATCATTTTATATTTTTCTTTTAATTTCGATTTGTTTTTTTTAATTTAGAATGTTTTTTGAAATTTTTATAGAAATCATAATTTATTTTGCTAATTTTATATGATAGAGAAATAAATTACATAGTTAAAAATTGGTAGAATGAATTTTTTTAAATTTAAAAATTGGCTAGAAATACTAATATAGTAAAAGTAAAAAATACTAGATATTAATCGTGAATACCTATATCTAAAAATTAAGGGTTAATATCTTTATTTTTAATAAATTAATAGAGAATTAAGTATAATCATTGTAAAAGGTGCGTCTTACTCAAAACTGATTTATTCCACTTTTAAAACTATAATTCCTATGAAGGGGAAACACTTGCCTGACCAAATAGAAATCTTTCTACTTAAAGACGCTGAAAAAATTTATTTAATTCAAATAATCGGTTATTCTTGACTATTATGAAATAAATATTTATTTGCATCAAATAAACTGTGTTTAATCAATACCCTAATTTCTTTATTCCAAACAAATAAAATTTATTCATCAAATAAAAAGTATTTGGTTCATGGAAATATTTATTTTATTATTGTCAAGTAATCGATTATTTGAATGAAATAAACTCTTTTTCAGTGTACGTATTTTTTTTGTTTGATAACATTTTTTTGTTTTTCCAAAAAGTAAAAACTATAAATTATAACTATATATGTATATACTAAATCTGAATTAGTAAAAATGTTTATTAATTTTAATTAGTGAATCACTTTTTGCTTTAGAATTAGTTAAATTTTACTAATTGAAAAGAAAAAAGTGAGTCACTAATTCAAATTAGTAAACTTTTTTAATAATTCAGATTTAGAGACTATTTTAATTATTTTTTATTAAATAATTAGCAATTATTAATTTTATGTTTTTAGGCAATCAAAAAAACTCAAAGTGGATTATTTTATTTAAAAGTTATTTTCTACTCCTAATTTCGGTAATATATAAGCGCACCGCGCTATACCTACATACATGGTTTTATTATACAAAAACAGAAGAATAAAGAATACAAAGAATACATACATCTCAATTGAAGGACGCGATTTGGCTATAATGCAAAGTGAGTTAAATTTTTATTTTTACTATATTATTACTTTACTTCTCGGTCAGTTGACACGTGTCGACCAATTTGGTTTTAAGCACGTGTCCTCGATAAAACCACGTCAAAATATTGTGCATTTTCTGAATAGGCCAATTTTACAGTACACGCCTTTTTTTCGTAGGATGTGCCTTTTTTAGACACCCTGGTGTTTTTATTTTTTATTATTATAATAATAATATTTCGAAGTGAAGTTTAGTATTTAAAATGTTATTCATTCAATTAAATATATAATAATATTGATTTATTCAACTAAACTTTTTTAAAACTTTAAAAAAAATTCAAAATAAGCCAAAATATTCATAACCAAATTAATAATAAAGTTATTTTATTAAAAATAGTGAAAAAATAATGTTTATCAAGAATGTTTTTTTATGTTCAAAAAATAGGGGTTCGTACCCAGAGAAAAGATTTCTTTGATTTAAATTAAAGAAACCAATTTCTTTGAAACAAAAAATACTTCTTTCATTCAAAGAAAATTTCTCTGATCCAAAGAAATTTTCTTTGAATGAAAGAAATTTGTGCATTAAATCAAAGGGATTCTAACATTAATATGACGGTCAAAGAAACATTTATTTGAATTGAATAAAAAATTTCTTTGAAATGAAGACTATATTTACAAAGTAAAATTTAAACTGTCCGAAACTTCTGCGCATGTCTAGCAAATATTGCTGTGGAAATAGAAAAAAATACTTCTGAAATAGTAAAGTTTACTCTGGAAATAGTATTTTTTTTTGTATGTATTTCCGAAGTAAAAGTTGACCGAAATTCCGGACAGCTAGTTAAGGATTTACTTTGAAAGTAGTACACGGAGAAAAATAAGTTTGCTAGTATATGGATATGCACAGAAAAAACCTGAATTCAAATTGAGTATAGATTCTATACTCAATTTGATTCGCAACAAAAATGAAACTGGTTGTCTCATTTCGAGTTCTAAGGTAAAAGTATCAAAATGAAACAGGCAAGTTTCATTTTGAGAAAAAGAAAAATGGAAAAATATTGTGAAATAACGAATAATTTTGCACAAAAACATGAAATATAATAATTACAAAGAAGTAAATAACACGCTAGACTTAATATATTTGATTAAAAATTGCTTGTAATCGCGTAATAAAATAATAAAGGAAATATGTTTTTAGGTTAGAAAAATGAAAACATGTGTTTTGACAACAGGAACGGTACTGCCAACTTAAATAATAGCGGTAAATTTAAAAACTTATGAAATTAATTATTATCTACGTAAATAATAATAAATAATTTTTATTTAAAAACTTCTAAATATTCGTACTGGTCAAAATAATCTTTCTGGTGTTGTTGAAATATTAGAAACAATAATTGAAATACAAAATTACTCTGCTTATGATGCCAACTTAGAAATCTGAAATTCCAGCCAATATCATTTTGAATAACATGAAGTTTGTCCCATACTCATTTTGATACCCAAAAGAAAATGAGTTGCAACAAAAATGAGTCCAAGTTTTTTCTGTGTGGATATGGAAGCTAATTATTAGCTGTATTAGCTAACAATAATTGATATCCATATAATAGCAATTGGGGTTAGCTAAATTAACTAAATTTTAGCTAATATAGCTAACTATTTTTTTTCGTGTAAAAATTACTTTATTTTTAAAGTAATTTTATTTTTTTTACTTTATTTTTGTTTTCCATTTTTCTCCATGTGGAAATGTTCAATTTGATCTTTTTTGTATGGAATATGACGAAGATTGAATTTTCTGAATTATGAGTAACAATAATAATTATTATTGTGATAATTTTACATCACTTGTGAGATATGAAGAGACATATGATTGTATGAGTTCTTTTCAACTCTATATAGTAGTTTATTCGTGGCTACTGTGACAGATTTCGACCACGCCTCACCGATATGGTACCCCATGACCCACCCCCGTTGTCACCCTCCGAATAGAGTCCTAGCATTTACTAGCTTTGATCTGCGGGTCTCTTTGCTGGACGAAAAGCGACTCATCGACTCAATCATGTCGGTCGTCTAAAACAGAATGTTTTAAATTTTTATTACTCTTTTCTTTTTTTTTTTTTTTTTTTTTTCTGATAAATAAGCACTGTATAACGAAATCATCAACCGTTAAGCGAATAGTATATTTTTTAGGATTTATAATAACATTTTTATTTGATAAACAAAAAAACAATTTACAATATTTATTTATTATTTATTGTTTTGATGATTTGAATGATGAATAATTTTTATTTGATGAATATCTGTTTTTAAAAACAATAATTAAAGAATTCGTAATAATATTTTTCTTAATTCTGTTCGTTTTTAGGAATATCTTCTTTTTTTTAGGTTGTGAAAATTTTATTATTTCGTTATGTTGAAGTCGTGAAATTACAGTAAAAGGTTCGATTGGCACTTGTATGGCTCACACAATAGTGATATATAGTTCGCGGTGCACATGAATCTAAAAGCAGGAAATTGGTAGGCGGATATAACACATGTACAAAGGACTATTATTGAATGTCTACTAACACAAATTTAGTATATATATATATATATATGATTTTTCAAAGAAGGATACATTTTTTATGTATATATTTATTAAATTTATAAATTCATGGATATTTTTGTTCATTAAATAAATTAGTAACCGATTTGATGAATTGTTAGTAGAAAACTACTAATTTTCTTAATTCAAAAAAAATTTACTTCAAACTAGTAAGGGAACGTTTCCAGATAGCACGTAAGCTTGCAGCAACCTTGCGACAAGCTTGCCGCGCAATATTGCCAATCTTGCACGGCAAACTTGACGCAAGCTTCAAATGTCCCACCTGACCCAAGTTTGCGTGGTAAGCTTACCGAAAAATTGCTCAGTAAGCCTACCAAAAGATTTCAATGTAAGATTACTGCAAGGTTGCACAAATAAGATTATCGCAAGGTTGTTCAGTAAGCTTGCACGGTAAGCTTGTAGCAAGGTTGGTGAAAGGTTGTCAAATAACCTTGCTTTAAACCTTAAAAAATTTTTTTTTTAATGTTTCGTCTAATTTATATAATTTTATTATATAAATTAGACAAAACATTAAAAACAAATTTTGTTAGGTTCAAAGCAAGGTTATTTGGCAACCCTGCACCAATCTTGCTACAAGCTTACCATTCAAGCTCACTAAGCAATCTTGCGATAATTTTACTGTGCAATCTCGCTGTAACCTTACACTGCAATCTTTCGGTATGCTTACCATGCAAGCTTTCGGTCAGGTGGTACATTTGAAGCTTGCGTCAAGTTTGCCGTGCAAGGTTGGCAATATTGCGCGGCAAGTTTACCGTAAGGTTGCTGCAAGCTTACGTGCTATCTAAGGAAACTTTTGCCAGAGTAAACTATATACACAAGCAGCACGGTATATCCCCTGAATATCCCTTGAATACCACCGTGGAATATTCCCATGATCTTCCAGGAAAATTAAAATGTCTGCCTCATGGAAATATTCCACGGTGACATTCAGGGAATATTCCAGTGACATTGAAGGTAATATTAAAGGAATATTCCAGTGATATTGAGGGAATATTCCACGGTTATATTGAATTTTTTTTTAAGTGTTGAAATAATAGAAATATGTTATAAATTGTTATTTGAATAAGCAGGAAGATTAAAAACACATTTTAAAAAAAAATTCAATGTAACCGTGGAATATTCCCTCAATATCACTGGAATATTTCCACAATATCACTCGAATATCCCCTTAATGTCACTGGAATATTCCATGAATGTCACCGAGGAATATTCTCTCGCAATGTCACTGGAATCTACCCTGAATGTCACTGTGGAATATTCCCATGATGCGGACATTTTGATTTTCCTAGAAGATCATGAGAATATTCCACTGTGGTATTCAACGGATATTCAGGGAATATACCGTGCTGCTTGGGTAGTATTTGATTAATCATAACAAATTGTTATCAATATATTTTAGATTAATTATTTCTTGCTCTCTAAATAAGAATTAGTTAAAAATAACTAATTTTCAGTAAAATCTTGCGGCTGACTTTTTGCTTCAGCAATTAGTAAAAAATAACTAATTTGTAGTGGAAAAATAACTTTAAACATTGACAAATTTGACTAATTGAATAAATTACCAAAAATTTTCGTTATTTTGTCACATAACCTAAAAGTGAATTTAATTTAGTTATTTTTAACAGTGAAATTAGAGAAAAAAGTAATATTGTTTGAATCAGTAAATGACTTTTTGCTACCAAATTATTTATTTTTAACTAATTCAAATTTAGTTCAGGAATTCAATTTTTTTCAATTATTTTTTCATATAAGAAAAAGAATAATTATCAATTTCCAAATAAAGTTGAATGCAAATAATTTTTCCATTGTAACAAAGATATATTTGATGTTTATTTGAGAGATTTAAAGAGATATTAGCGTTCATTCGTAAATTAAAAAATAATTGACTTATTGATGGAGGGTTAGTGATGTATTTTTGCTGTTTTTGATCAATATTTGCTTTGATTTGATCGAATTGATGTGTTCAATTAGCGACACATATATATATATAGGTATACGTACGACAAACTGCGCGCTCTCAGTACCATCACCTAAATTCGATTGAAAATCGACTTTTTAAAACATAGAATCGTCAAGTCGAGGTATCCTTGGGGGAAACTAAAGTGCCCTTATACGAGGTACAAGTTGCATATGGTCCGCGGAGTTTGCAGAAAGCGCTGTTCTATCCATCGAATCTAATCTGCTCTACGATCTACCCTTTGGCGAATTAGATCAGAGATCGAGCTAAAATCGTGTACATATACAAATAGTGGTTTGACGTTACTGTATATGTATATAGCTCGTAATATCAGAGGGGAATTTAAAAATTTTTAATGTTGTCGGTGTCCCTCTCTTTTTTGTCCCTTCTTTTTTTTTTTTTTTTTTTTTTAAAAAACCCTTTTTTATAATATATTTTTGCATAAAAATTTTTTAATAATTTTTGATATTTTTATAAAACAATTTTTAAGTTGGTATAATTAACATTTACACACGCACTCAGAGAAAAGTTTAATTTATTATAATTTATAATTAAATTTATTTATATTATAATTTAATTATAATTTATTTAATTCAAATAAATTGTATATTTGGTTCAAGTAAAAAATTTATTTGTTAATATAGTATTGTAACCAATTATTTGAATCAAATAAATTTTACTTCAGTGCAATATATTTTGAATAATTTATATTTTTTAAAGAATTTTGTAAAAAAAATTTTTTATTAATAATAAACAAATTTCTGTTGTTTTTTTTTTTTTTTTTATTTATTTATTCCGTTTATTACTAAAAAATTCTATTTTATACGTAATTTTAAATTAAAAAAGAACTTTTAATAATTTAAAATCACAAAGAAGTTGTAAGGGAATTATAATTTTAGCTGATAAACGAGAGGAAAATAGTTTTTAAGCACGCAAGTCAGTCTCGATATAATTGTAAATGTGGAATTAGTCGGATGCATGGCGTGCATAATAAAAGGATCGATTGATGCTATTTAGGAAGGTCTCAGTCTCTAACTATATTATATATGATAAAATTCAATAAAAATTGTATTTTTCTTTTGTAATTTTTTTTTTTTTTTTTTTTGAAAAAAAGTTAATAGTTGAATATCATTTATGAAAAATTCATGAATATGTATAATACTTTTTTTTATTTTGTAATATAGTAATTGAATTTGAATGGCATGAGAAACTTTTAGAAGTCTTGATAAAACCTCAATAAAAAGCAGTTTTGGTTTTGAATTGGCCCGCTTTTTAACTCTTTTGTCTATTGTTGACGAAATTATAGTTCTGAAATTGTTGACACGCGTCATGGGCGTTCTGTTTTTGGTCCGTTTAAAAAAAAGCCTCATATTGCATTTTCGCTTGTGAATCATATATATATATATATACTGTTAAAAAGTTAAATTCCTTTTATTCATTTTTTTAATTATATTATTTTTAAAAATTCAGTTCATTTTTTATTGATAAAATCAACAGTTCATTGTAAATCTTACAATTTCCTTCCCACATGCTAAAAAATTTATGGACAGTGACATATAGCAAAAGTATAATATATATAAAATAAGGAAATCTTTTTAATAAATTATTAATAATGTTTAAACTAAAATATTTCGGTTTACACTTTTCTGTATATTCTTCTTAAAAAAATTCGGTTTCGGTTTTTCTTAAAAATATTTAATATTATAAATATTTATTAAGTATTTTATATATTACGGTTTCGGTATTCAACTTTTAATTTTTAATGTCAAAAATTTTGGTTTTAGTTTCTGGTTTTTAAAAAAGTTTAGTTTTTTGGTTGTTTCTCCTTGATAATAATATGAATGAAAATATTTGTGTGGATTTAAATTATTTAGAACAAAAATATATACATGAATTACTCATAATTTACTAATAAATTTATTTTATTAGCTTAATATGAATATTAATCCTAGAATGGAAATATCGAAGGGGAATTTACTAGTTAAAAACGTGTACACTTGACTACCGGTATTACTAAGTATTACACGTTATTACACATTATTACAGAGATATTACAGAGTTTTTTGAGTTATTACAGCGCTGTAATAACGCATTATTACACGGTATTACATGTTATTACACAAGTATTACAGGAAGAGTGTACACTTGACTACCTGAGTAAATTCCCCCTCGGGAAATATGATTTTTTTACGTTCTAATGGAAATTTGAAACATTTGTGAAAGGTTTCTATTATACTGAAAAAGAGATTTAGTATACTTATAGTGAATTTTTATATCGTTTATTTAGTAAGGAAGACGATGGTACTATTCATTTTTTTTTTAATAAAGTAAAAAGAAATGTGTGAAAAGTTAGAAAAACGAAATATAAAAAACCAAAATTTCTCAAAAATTAATATTTTTTAACTTCGCGTGATGTGCCTAATCACCTCCCTGTTTTCCATTCTAGGGTTAAAACTTTAAATAATCGAACACAATATAGAATTTTCAAAATAAAAATAATTATTTTATTAAAATTTTTCATTAATTTTTTGCAGCAAACAATAATTTTTTTGTTCGAATAATTTTGTCTACTTTAATATTAAAAATAAAAAAAAACAAAACTTAGATTTCGAAATAATGGTTTAAAATTTTTTATAATAAAGGGTTTCGGTTTCTTAAAAAATTTTGTTTTTTCAGTTTCAGTTGCCATCTTCTTCTTTTCTTTTTTCTTCTTCTTCTTCTTCATCTTCTTTCAAGATTCCGAAAACTTTTGCACCAACTTTTTCATCAGTTTGAAGACATTGATATCTGAATCCGCGGCTTGGAAATAATCTTTCTTTTCCGTATTCCTTTACAAGAAAGAAACTTTGCTGGCAATATGTATACAAGGAAGACACAAGAAAGCAACTAGATATCTAAAGCAGAAGGTGAATCGGCGAAGAGGAAACCACTTTCGCATTATCTAGAATTCTGTAACTGGATGCATGTGTGCATCGCAGGTGATATATAGTGTGCACACACACATACATATATATATATATATATGTAATATACAGAGGACTTACATTAACATCAACATCTTTACTCATACACCGCTTTTTATTCCCAGCCTCTCAATATAGATATCGCGTGTACAACGGTGTGGTATACGTTACAATCAAATCCCGAAAAAGGAAAAAGAATTAAAAAAGCTATCTGCCGCGAGATGATGAAAAAAAAAAGGATAGGAAAAAAAAAAGCGTCACCGGTTGGTGGGTGGAATGATGACAAGGGTGATGGCAAAGGGACGAAGACGCAGAGAGCGGGTAAAGAAAATCGCTTGCAGGCTATTTTCCGGAGGAATTTTCATTGGATGGCCGCCATTTTGTCTGTTAAGGGTAGCGAAGTAGTGAGCTCAATGCCGATTGGTCGTTGTCATGGTAACGCTTCCCCGCTTTCTCCAATCCCAGCTCGCTATGCTCCTCTCATCGTATTCTGGGGGATGGTGAGACTCTAGTTGTATTGGGGGGGTCGTTTCGCCCCCATAATACACCCCCCCTCCCGCCAAACCCCCAAGTCAGCAGGATAACTGCATTTCGCGGACAGAATCCCGCAAGAACTCACGGTGAGCGGTACCCCTTCGGTGTGTATCTCTCTCTCTTACTGATCCTCAACGTTTTCGTCAACTCGTCGTCAAATATATATATATATATATACCTATATATACACACAAATATATATATATGTATATATATATAATCGTCTCTCGTTGTTATCCTCGTTTCTCTTTTGGGTGTTCTCGGCATATAACGTCATTTGGGTCCAATTATTTCGATATTTGAATTTTCAAGGCCGTTCGCGCGCGGTCCCCTCCCCCTTTCACCCCCCTCGATTTACAACCCATTACGGATTACGAAATATATCCACTTCTCTCTCTCTCACTCTCTTCCCCTCCTTGCCCATTTCATCCACCCAACACCACCCACCGTAAGTACGACGCGGGAGAGGAAACCCTAATTGGATTGACGACGATAATGTCATTTGAATTTCGAATCGGACCAGGCCAACCACGACGCATCTAACGTATATCTCGTGTCGTGGCGCTTCGATCTTATAATCGAAACTATATATATATATAAACAATTTGCCGGCATCACACACACAAATCTGTTTTCTTCTTCTTCCGGAGTCCGCGATTGTTTTCGGGTCATTGGTCCTTAATGGTGAGGTGAAGGTCACTGGAAATTTGTCAATTTCCTACAATTATCATTTGGATTTTATTTGTGGAAAAAGTTACGAACTTGCGTTTTATGTGAAACAATATTGGAATCTGAGAGAAGAAGAAATAAGGATCGCAGTTACGGATAAAAAACGGATATTTCAAAACGAAATAATTTATGTAAACAAGAGATAAAAAAAAAATCAGTATTAAGATAAAGGGAAAAATTAACGCCAGAGAAGATATCAATATTTGGATAGAAGAGTATCGATTGACGGAAGAATAAGTTAAAAATATTATTGGAAAAATGATCGATTATAAAAAAAGAAATTTTGATTACAAATCGTTTGTAAATAAGTTTATGAGCATTTTGCAATCTATCATTTTGTAATCTACCTCTTTATATTGCATAAGGGAAAGAATATTTTATTTGTACATTTTTCTTATTAGAAAAATATTTCTTGTAACTAAAAAGTGAAATCAAATTGGAATACAAAAAAGAAATTAAAAATACAAATAAAGAAATTTTTCAAATTGCATCCAACTTTAGTACCTGCTGCATTTGCTACCAATGATATACAATCACAAAATATTTTAATACAGTGATTGTAACATAGTGATTGAAAGAAGCAGTGATTGTAATAAACAGTGATTACACATACAATTTATTTCTATGAAGAACAATTTTAAATAATATAATAGCTTCTTTATTAGTCATCATCCAGAGTTTGAAAATTTGTCAACAAGCTGCTCGAAAACAGCTTCTTTTTAATTTTTCAAAATGAAGACCAGTAAAAATCTCCTTCAACATTTGAAAACTGATATACATAAGGCATATTAAAACATAATGGATACATCATTATAAAATTGCCAAATTTTCATTGATTTGTTCACTAAAAAATTTATTGGCCTTTTTTGTCAAACATCACACAATATCAACTATATGGAATATAGTTTAGAAAAAGAATATTTAGAAGAAAGAGAATAATAATAACAACATTCTATTATTTAGAAACAACATAATTCTGAAAAATACTTGAAAGAAATTTTTTCAAGTACATCTATATATATATATATATATTTTGGAAAATTTATATTAAATCAGTGAATGAGAAATATATATATATATGTTGTGAGTGTGAAATTTGAGATGATGTTCATTTAAAGGAGTGTAAATTTTTTTTTTACTTTTGGTAGACCTCGGCAAGGTCACCCCGGCATCATCCTGGCTAACGATTTATCAGGAAGTACCGGGCCGGGTGGCGGAGTTGGTTCCGTCGGTGGCACATCCGTCGGTAGTGGATCATCATTATCAACAACTGCATTGAGTTTGGATCATCAGCAATTCAATATTTTTCCTGCAATATTTAGTAGGCAACTTAATTTTTCAGCAGCGGCCGCTGCAAATTGTGGACAAAATAAACTTATGGACGAATTAAGACCAAATCTTGGTCTCTTGGGCGTTGGTCTTGTTGATAATGATACATTTCATTTGAATCACAATCAAGAGAAGAGAAAGTGTAGCAGTACCAGTTCGAATGAACAGGATTTTGGTCTCTATGGGGTTCATCAGGGACTTGAGGCGAGTCCACCGACGCCCGCCGCAACGCCCGGTAGAAATAGCGTTGGATCGGCCAGCACTGTTGGTGAGTTTATTTATTTAGTTTCTTCAATTCAATTCTTACCTCTTAAAATTTTACAATGATTGGTGGAAATTATATATTTCTTTTTCTTTTATCATTTAGGTCTTAAAAACGTAAAATGTAAAAATAGTTTAATATTTAAAAAGAATGTTGATGAATTTAAAATTTATCCATTATCTGCTTTTTTTGAGATGCTTAAAAATGTACATTCGGACATTGATTATGCAGAAATAATGCACTTACTTTAAATACTGAATACAAACTCATGCCATGATATTTACATAATCAACTACTCCCTCTGTAGAAACTTTATCTGCCTACCCTTTTCTTAAGATAGATGGTACTCCCATATATCATACAGTGAAACTGTTGGTTTAATGTTTAACCGAACATTATCATGGAAAGAACATGTTTACAATATTTCGCGTAAAATATTTATGGTTTTGAAGCAGTTGAATAGAAACAAATACTCCCTTCCTTCTTCTCCCGAGTCCAAATTTTGCATCTCTTTTAATTCTTTTGGTCCTCTGTTGCTTCTCTATTGATGCTCTTGATACTCTTGATACTCTATTGTTTTCTATTACTTCTCTTGATTCTCTATTACTACTCTTGGTTCTCTTTTACTTCTCTTGATCCTCTTTTGCTTTTATAGATTATATGATTTTAATTCACGATTACTTCTCTTGATCCTCTTTTGCTTTTATTGATGATATAATTTTGATTCTCGATTACTTCTCTTGATCCTCTTCTGATTTTATATGATTTTAATTCACGATTACTTCTCTTGGTCCTCTTTTTCTTTTATATAAATTATATGATTTTGATTCTCGATTACTTTTCTTGATTCTCTTTTGCTTTTATACCATGGTGATTCTTGATTACTTCTCATCATTCTCTAATTTAAAATAATTTTTTTTATAATGGCCATAGAGTGGGGGCACTATTTTGGATGTCAAAGCGAGGAAATTAATTGAATAGTTTAGTCATAATTTCACCTTTCATCGACACAGACATAGAATGGCCATACTCTCATGTACCGGCCGAGGACACAGAAAGGTAGATTAATTTACTTTGTTCTATTTTTCTTTATTTCGACTTTATTTTGTGAATTTACGTGATAATATTTTTTGTGTAAAGTGTGGCCGTTAGTTATTTTTGAATTTTTATACAAATGATTTCAAGACACCACATCTCGAGGGATGATTATCGCGAGGTCAATGAAGTAAAAGAAAGCATCACTTGGGGTTCCCCAAGTCAGATGTATAACAAACTTTTGGATTTTTGCTTGTGTGTATCAATTTCACTCATATGTAATCTCTCCGAAAATTGGATGAGTATTATTGTTTTTACTTATTTTGAATGACTTTAATGATCAAGATTTAACAAAAATCTTTAGAGTGTGTCAAATTATGTGTCAAGAGGTCGAAATATTGATTATTTTATATTATTTAATTATTACACGGAAAAAAAAGTACAACTGCATCTGAGAATTTTTTCGCCATAACAATTAAACATTTCGTCAAAAATGAACCAGCGATATTGTATTGCCAAAATGGCTGACTAGAAAGATTAAGGGGAGGGACCGGTGAAATTTCAGCCTACTGAAGTTATTATTGTTAAAGAGTGTCAATTTTTTTCTGGCATAATTTAGGATCCAAAATTATTATAAATTATTAAAATTTAAAAAAAAAATTTTTTAGCCATTTTAGAAAATTTATTTTTTGGAAAAATTAAATTTCTTTAAATTCCATACGATTGATTGTTTAAAATCGTGAAAAAAGCGTAAAAAAAATTCGACAATAAATAATAATGAAAATTGTGGAAGTAGTTGAATTTTTTTCAAAATTACCACTAAAATTGAAAGCAATCAAAATTGATCTTGTTTAGGGGTAATAATTTTTTTCAACATTTTTTTTCAACCAAAAATCTTATTCTACTGAGAAAAACAACAAAAGGTAATTTTTAACAATTTTACAAATATTTTTATTTTTCAAAATTTTCATTTTTTGAAAAAATTGAAATTTTTCAAAATCCATACGCTTGATTGTTTAGAATCATGAAACAAGCGTATAAAAAAATCGGCAGTCAAAAATAATTAAAATTGTGAGAGAAGTTTAAATTTTAAATTTTCGAGAATTTTGAATTTGATTTTAAAAATTATTAACAAATTTATAGTTTTTCAATTTTTCATGATATATTATACATTTAAATAATTAATATTGTCAGAAAAAAAATTGACCACCCTTAAACAGCTTTAATTTTGATGTGTTAAAATTTCAGCGGTCCCTCCCCTTAAACTCTAAATTCACTATAGCCGAATTGGCTAAACTTTCGGCTGCTGCGGTGAAACTTATTCACAGCGTTGGATGTTTCGTTCCTTCATATTAATTATATTCCCAAATAGCTCGTTCCAAATTTTTTTCCGTGTATGTGCCTATAGTATGCTCATATGTCGAGCGGGGTATTTGTATTAGTTTATTTATAATCGATTAATTATTATTTATCTCTTCCAGGAAATTGAAATCAAAAAAATTACATACAATAATATTCTCTTTTGATTCTCTTTATTCTCGAAAACTTACAGTTTAAGAGAATCAAAGAAGAATCAAAATTTCGACTCGGGGCTACTCGCTTATTATTAGTTAAATCACTCATTCTCTCCTTTTATGATTACTGCAGCCCTGTTTATGATGACATTACCGATGAGTTGAATAATAAGCTGAAAAGAGCATTGAATGCCTGCATCCGTTTTGTGTATGACTTACCTACGACTGAGCATATCACCCAATTTAGAGTCAAATCGAAACTATTAAATGTTGCGACTAGAAGGCAATTTATTATACATATTTATTATAATATTTATTATACTTTATATACTTATTATACAATTTATTATTACTAACAGCAAGACTCCTTTATATCTTCTCGATTTCTTTAAATTCAGTAGAGAAGCAAATACCAGACTCCAAGAAAGAAAAGATATCCCCTATAACAGTACCCTCTAACCGAACTTGTAAAATGCAAAAGTCTTTTATTGTGAGAAGTGCGAGAATGTGGAATAAGCTACCAAACAATTTTAGAAGCTTCATCCCAATATACCTTTAAAAGATTATTTTTTGTTTTTCTATTTAAAACCAATGACGGGTTTTTCAATATTACTTATTGATAAACTTTGTTAAATTGAATTGATTTTGATGCTATAAAATTTCTATTTCTTCTTTTCTATTTCAATTGAGGCTTTATTAATACCTAACTTGTTGTTATTATTTTTACTATATGATTATTACTATATATACTCTTTTCTATTATATTCGATATTTAGTTTTACTATGTAATTAAGATTTCATAATTACTATATGTACTTCATTCCTTAGTGGGCTTGAAGCCCTACACTGAAAAAAATGTTGCTGAGAAATTTAACTATACCATTGGGTAGTTGACTAGAAAGTAGTTAAAATAACTACTTTTTTAGTTAATCTAATCATGTTGATGTAGTTAATGTAACTATTTTTAAGAAGTTAATAAGTAATAGTTGATTTTACGGAAATATGTAGTTAAAGTACAACTACTGGTAGGTAGTAAAATTAACTTTCTTAAGGTAGTAAAAACAAGTGAAATTGTAGTCAACTCAAAATTGGTAGAGTAGTAAATCCAACTACTATTCACCAGTTATATGAAATGCAGTAAAAGGAATTATTTTCTTTAATTAATATAACTGCTTTTTGAGTAGTACTTTTTTTATTAATTTCTATGATTTTATAGGCCTCAATAAAATTCTTGTTGTAGAATTAACAAGTCGTCTGTAATTAAAACTACTACTTTAAGTAGTAGATTTACTATTTTAATTGATTCAATAAACTTAAAGAAGATTTTTGATGTAAAATTTACAAATCGTTTCCAGTTAAAACTACTACTGTAAGTAGTAGATTTTACTACTCAAAGTGGTACAATAGGCTTTAAGAACATTTTTGTTGTAGAATTAACAAATCCTTTGTGATAAAAACTACTACTTTAAGTAGTAATTTTTTACTATTTTAATTAATTCAATAAGCTTAAAAAACGTTTTTGATGTAAAATTTACAAATCGTTTCCAATTAAAACTACTACTTTCAGTAGTAGCTTTTACTACTTAAAGTGGTTCAATAGGCTTTAAGAAAATCCTTTGCAATTAAAACTATCACTTTAAGTAGTAGATTTTACTGCACTATGCAATTAAACAACTTATAATATAATTAAAAGATGAAAAATTGACAAGTCAAAACTTAAAAAGGATAGTTATAGCAACTAATACAAGTAGTAAAAATGACTACTTTAAATTGTAGTTAAATTACCAATTGGACAAGCAGAAAGTAGTCTTCGAGTAGTTTGCAGACTGTCGTAGCGAGCGTGCGTGGTTAGTTGGTTAAGGTATCGAATTGCGAGCGTTAGGGTCGAGGGTTCAATTCCCGTCGGTTAGAAATTTTATCTGTTAGGTACATAATCGTTAGGGCATAAAATAAGCGTCAGTATAGGAGAGAGGATGAAAAAGGCAATTCTACTGATAATAAACAATTATAAATAAAAAATAATTTTATTTTCCTATTTTAAGTAGTAAAATCTACTATATAAAGTAGTAGTTTCAATTGCAAAAGATTTATTGAATGTACCAAAAAAATGTTCTTAAAGCCTATTGAACCACTTTAAGTAGTAAAATCTACTACTTACATCTTGAGTTGTTTTAACATTTTTAAATTGAGTTAATACAATCACAAAATGTCATTCTACCAATTACATTTTTAATTGGTTTAACTATTTTTATATAGTTAATAGAACCGTTTAAATTCAGTTGAGGACCTATTGTACTACTCAGAGTAGTTAAAAAGTAGTAAAACCTACTAGTTTTTTTCAGTGTAGGAGCTTAATTTCATTAAATAAATAAAATTTATTAAAAGTACATGCATATAGGCAAAAGCCCTTTAGATCATTAGATAACAAATCACATGTTAACACCGTCGTATTAATAC